TTATTAAAGAATATTCCAATTTGCGTTACATACGATTTGCAAAATATTTTGTTTTAAGAATAAGTATTTATTTCTTTTATTAAATTAAATTGATTAATTAAAGGGAAATTAGAAATAAAATAAGATATTATATTCAGGTGTAAGTAGTACTAAATCGCGTATATTTATTTTTATAAACAAATAGTTGAAAAGAAATATATGCGATTTAATTATAATAATTATATAAATTATAAGCGAATAATTATAATTTTTATTAAAAAAAGACCTCAAAGTTTGTGGAATTATATCTATTTGCCAAGTTTTATTGAAATCGGTTAATGGAAAATGGATGAAATCCAATAAACCGGATTCATCCCCTAATTTGACACCTCTAGAGATAAAACATTTTCTTCAAATTTGAACCACTACTGAGGTACATCATTTCTAATAAAAAAGAAATTGGTTCACAAATGTCGGAGTAATCACGTAACAAAAAATGTAGTCGGATTGAAAATATCCTTCTCTTTTTGAAGTCGGTATAAAATAGTATCATTTTCCAATTTTAGTTATATTGTTCTAGTTTTATTTCTCAGACTTGTTTTCTAAATTTCAATGCAGGCTTAAGACAGGATCAGACATATTTTCGAACACCACGAAATTGGGTTCCATAAAATTATTTAATTAGCTAGCGGTTTTTAAACAAGCATAATGTGAAATGGAAAGGTTTTAGATGAAGTTCATTCATTCATAATCTTTATACATCATTCATCACTATACACAATATATGCTTTTAAATTTATGTTTACACAGCGTTCATACCAATTGCAGTGCCACTCAGAGCTTGAAATCACTAAGATTTGATGGGTACTGCCACTGCGCCCGTCACTCTGAGACATAAGTTGACAAGTCCCATGTGCCTATATTTTCACCAGCACCCTTACCCTTTAAAATGGGAACGCAGTAATGCACACATAAAAGCTTGGCGGCAGAAATAGGTAAGGTGACAGTACATCCATGGACGAACCCTTTCACAAGAAGCTCTACTGCTGCGAAACTACCACTTTACAGCTACGAAGTAGTTTCTAACTAACAATGAGCTTGTTAGATTACTCTAAGTATATATGTAACTAGCCGAATTGGTTAATTTATCTTTTAGAACTATCTAAGTGAGTATGTTTATTAGTAGTAGAATAGCAGTGTGAAAGAGTTCGTCCAGGGAAGTACTGCCACCTTATCTATTTCTGCTGACAAGCAGTAACGTGACCATTACGGCGTTCCGGTTTTGAAGAGTAAGAATGCTGGTGAAACTACAGGCACGTGGGACTTGTCAACTTATATCTCAGAGCGACGAGCGCGGTGGCAGGGCCCATCAGATCTTTGCGATTTAAAAACTCTGAGTGGTTCTCCAGCTGCTACGGACAGGGCGTATCGCTTATCGCCTGGCGCAAGACTTGTTCGTCACGTCTCTTGGGATCATAATAAAATGTGACTAACGATCCGTACCCTTGAACCCGTAATAAGGCCACATGCAGAATATTTTTATTTCTAAAATTTCATATGCTCATACTTGTTTCATATATATTCGTATTATTCTAAATTTACTAAAAATGTGCTCGTATATCGTTAAAACGATCTAGTATAATGGTTCAAGTGGGTATAATAAGTTACAAATACAATGGATGAGTCAGAATTCAAAACTTTCGTGTTCTTAACCTTTACTCATTCCATTATCACTAGTTTTTCAAGTAATACCAGTGTTAATCACATAGCGGGCTTCTTATTACGTCAAATTAATAACATACCTCTTCTGTTTACCAAAAGGTGGAATTTAATATTTCCTGTGTGTTTTCCTACACCATACTATCTATCACCGTCAATGTAGTTTTGAAACCAGTTCTCCAAAAGCCATCGTATATCGTAAATATATGAAATTAATGTTTGTATGTTTGATCCGTAAGGTTTTTTTATTGTATATTTACTTACGATTTTGACAGCTGGAAAGGAGGTTCTTTTGCTGTTGCGCTCCACTAAGTTTAAGTTTAAAAAAAAATTGTTATAATTATTAATACAAAGATCGAACACTCAGAAAAAATTCCTTTGATCCGGTCGGATTCGAACCGATGTCTTCTAGCATACCGTGCCAGACGCTGTACCAACTAAGCCACGGAACGAACCAGCGGACCTCAAGAATTTTTTATGTGTTTGAGTCATGATCAGACTTGTTAGCCGTAGCGCCATCTATGAGAAATTTATGATATTTCGCGATCTCGCACGAGCTCGCGCTGTGATTGTGGATAGTGAAGATTCACTGCTGTTCAGTTCATACCCGTTCCCACAATCTCGCGATTGATATTAATAGCCATCGCGAGATCACGCGAGTTCGCGTGAGAAATCGTGTTTTCATTGCAGAGTATATTACTCTATATATGTATAGGCAGCAATACGTTTCAATATTACATCAACACATATTTCAGTTCTCGCCTCGCCCATCCGTGTCAATCTAGACCGTTTCCATAGAAGAAAGGCTATGAGAGAATTGAAATTTTATCATATAAATTTCAATCCTCTTCTCGCCTTTTTTTAGTTTAATTTTCCAACATTTGTTAGAATAGAATAAAGAATAGAATATAATAGAATACGTATTTGTTCGCGGGAAACTGCGCACTTCATTAGATGACTTTCTTTTGTTTCAACAAATGTGTAGATCGATAGCCAGAAATACAAGCCAACGACACGTAGATTTTTCTTTCAGTGGCATTGCAACGTATATTGCCGAATTAGTATCATAAAAAAAACTCAAAACATTTTCAACAATTAATCAGTTTTCCTTTTCCAATGTATCTTTATTTAAATATTGTTAAAATCCCTTGAGGAAGATTAGATTCTTATTATTATGTGTCCAAAACCATTTTATTTTATGCGGCATGTATCAAAATGGTTACATTAATAAAAAAATTGGGTTATATTCACAAATAATTCATAGTACATTTGTTATGCTACTTTTTGATCAAACTGTTTTACATATATATATATTATGCTATAGAAGAATTATGTGGGAAAAACACGCGTGAATTTGCATCAAATTCTCGTATGAAATATATCGACTTTTTGTTTGTACGTGCGTGAGTTGAACTCATTATATTATTTATCATGGTCAACTTATAAAGCAACAAATATATCATCAAAACGTTTAAGACTTCCTTCTTTATAACTTCGTTTGTTTAAACAAGGACGAATAGTATTTATAATGTTGATTGGTTTTGGGTTTTTCTATGTGACAAAAAATATTTATCGGCATTTTATGGATAAATATTTTTTTTACATTTCTAATTTTTATCTTCCTTAGAGGAAATAGCTTAGGAAAATACCGTTTACCCATTGCTCTACCGTTTACCCAATTAATTGTCACTAAACTTGTGGAAAAACAGCTACAATCTTCAGCAGTAACAAGTGGGAATTTAACAACATTTATTTGATTTCGAAATACAATATTAAATAA